GGAACCTGACACTTAATTAAGAAAGGGCACCACAGGGTGGCACCATAGACTTTGATATGGACTTCAATCAAGTCGACATGGATTATGAGGGTCCCCTGATGGAAATGGTTAGCTGTCAAGAAAAAGAAGGGCTACCATCGTTGTTGAAGATCAGAACCAGGGAGAATTTCTCACTAAAGGGGAAAAATGTGATAATACAGCAAGATCCGATGGAGGGGACTAGTTGCCTGCCATCCATGATAGCTGCACCAACCGGAGGCCTAGTCGTTGCTAATGAAGAAAGACTACCGGATGCACCACTGCGAAGAACACAATGCAGAAACGTGAAATATAAAAAACCTAGAGCTTTCATGCGTGAAGAAAGAAGTCACCAACAGGAGGCAAAAAATTTACTTATCCTTATTCCTGAGGGGAAAACTATGATCCAGACATGAGAGAGAACTCTTCTAGCTTGCCTATAACAGAGGATGAGTCCGAGTTCGCTACAGAGCCAGAGATACCAGGAGTTTAAATTGATCTTTGTGCGGGTTGCTTGACATGTAACGCCAAAATTCCCACATGTACACCAGCTACAGGGGCATTTGTGGAATGCCCAGACTACAATGTTCTCAACATAGAATGCTAGAGTACTCTGGATGAGTACATGTCCCCCGATGACAGATTTTAGGTCACCGATCACCTAATTTGGGAGTCATATATTCTGCTGTATACAGAGACAACACTAGCCTGGATTCCTACCAATATTGAAATAAGTGAGCATCCTCGAGAGCCACTGATCATCATGATGATAGAATACTACAAAATGAGTAAAGTGAACAAAAGGGAATTTGAATTCTATGAAGAAGTTCAGGGAAGATTCATCAACATACTGGAAGGCTTGGAACTGTGTACCAAAGTCTTCTCCAAAAGCGTATATATACACTTCATGATTATTATAAACATTACAAGAATTATGGAAATCCTTAAATAAATTTGAAGAAGATTTAAATAAATTTGTGTTTCTTAGCACTCCAATAATTTTAAAAGCTACATTCATGTTCAAATAAAACTAGGGTGAAAGGTCCTTATAAGCTAATCTAAAGATTTACCAGGGTCGATAAAATCCGTGTTAACCTACTAGCACTTACTACGTTGATTTTTAAAATTGATTAGTTGAATTTATCCAAAGTATTTATCTTAGACCAAGAGTCTTGGGGATTTGAGGACTAAGTTGACCGTAGGTTAAACCTAGGGCCACGATCCAAACAAAAAATCTACCAGGCAATTTTATTCAGCTCCATTATAACTAAATTGCTAAGTAAGATTACTAAATTCTTTGACTACTAATTGGGCTCATAAGCCTAATTATAGTTTAGCCAGTGTTAGGGCTAAATTAGAGCTTGCTCTAGTAAATTTTAGTTAGCATTTGAGATGAAGATTTAAATTATCTATGATATCATTTTATAAGTCTGTTAAACTCATTATAATTTCTAGAGTGATTTTAGGGTTAGTCTTAGTTAATTTAATATATGGGTTGGGTTGAGGTTTATAACTAAGCTATGCTAAGGTCTCATCATAAACATATGTTATGGATTAGAATTGACTTCATATGAGGATTTTGGTGAAGAAAACTTTAATTTAATCAATCAAACCAAAAGAAAAAAATTATGGAATTCTTGTATCATTCTTAATAATGGTTATATAGCCAAGCAATGGTACTAGACTCGAGTGATAATGACATGCTTAGTCAAAAAGACTTCACAAACAAATTGAACTAAGTTAACCTGAGCATCAACTGACATTTAAATAGTTTAGATTTTTTTGCCAATAGGCTTTTATCCTTGAATGGCATATTCACATGAAGTATGTTAAGAGCATAAAGAGTAACATACTATAAGATGCTCACTAGTTGAAATATATTGATGAACATCAATTTAGAAAGATGTTTAAAGACTTATATAATATTATCTTAATTGTATACTTTATTTTCTTCATTGTACATTTAAAATTCACTCACATCCGATAATTTTAAATACAATGAAAATAGACTAAATAATTAATTTTAAATATATTATGATTTTACAATGTATTTAAAATTCTTTCAACTTACGCCCAAATTACTTAAACTTTACTTTAAAAAAATAAAAATTTTATCTTTACGACAAACCAAAAAACCCCAAAATCACCACTCAAAAGGACTAATTCTAAGCAACATAACAAAATAAAATGTTTAACATTTGAAAAAATTATAAAATAAAGGCTATAATTATTTCCCAAAAAAAGATATAAAAAAATGGACTAAATACATAAAAAGATTTAGATGAGTGAAAAATGATATTTCTAAATCATAAAAAATTTCTAATCTCCAAAAAACCTATAATTTAAATAATTTTTTATATAAAAATATAACTAAGTTCCCATGCTTTGAAAATAAAGAAACCACAAATATAATAGAAACATGAAAGCTCCAAATTTATAAGACAAAACAAACATCGACAACTCAACAAGTCCCAAAAATTATTGTATAAAATTGAGAAAAAACGATAATATTATCTATAAATTCATGTCATATAATTGTTGAAAGTTTAAGCATAAGACATTTAGAGTCATCATCCATTCCGATATAGAAATAAAAGGGCATTTGAATAAAAATCATGATGGGATTTCTATATTCACATCAAGTGTATGATGTGATATCACTATTGTTCAACCAACTCACTAAGAATGCTCAATCCTTGCCTATTTGATATTCTCACTTAGTGAAATGAGTTGTATTATTGTTTATTGCTCAAATATATGATGCATTAGAAATAATTTTGTCGAATTAAGGCAGTAGATTCAACTTGACACATCCAAAGAGTAAAGGAGTATCAAATAAACTTTTTCATGAAATTTCACTCTTAATCTTATGGATAATCTAAGTGGATAATGTAGAACTTAAGTCAATATTTTCATACATGAGTTCAAAAAAGTAAGAAGAAATGCATGTATTGAACAAATTCATCCATAATAATAGTTGCCAGACATTAGTTTACTGTTTCGTAAAGCCATTAATACGAGGAAGTGCATATTGGACAAATTATAAAGTGAATTCTTTTTTGACTACTTAGAAAAAAGATTCATGTAGCCGACCCCACGTAGTGGGATTAAGGTTTTGTTGTTATTGTAGTGAGATTATTAATATATCAGAGTGGAACATAAATAACTGTAAGTGACCTAAGGCCAATAGCATAAGTACCATTATGTAATGTATTTAAATGTTTCTTTTGAATTTAGGACTGAGAATTTCTAAAGATAAGACTTATGAAGGCTGTCGAGAGATTTCTTAATGTGGGAAATCTAAAGCATTAGTAATCAAGATCATTCAAAGTTGTACTTTGGGTAGGATTGATTCTACCAATTCTTTTTACATCTTCACATAGCTATAATACGTAGTTTCTTTCATGTTTTATGCTAAGAATAATTTTATTAACCAAACTCATGTCATGTAACTCAACCTTGATAAGATGCAACCATAACCTAACATGAGTTGTAAGCAAATGTCAGGCTAGATTTTTCTTAAGCAAATAACCTTGATGGTCAAAATATTTGAAAAAACTAGTCCAAGAAATAAATGTCACGAGAGATTGAGTTAGACATTAATAAATAATGCTCTTATTTTTTTATAAATACCATGTATAAATTAAAAATAAATAAAATTTCAAAAGACATCTGAATTTTTATATATAAATCTGAATTCCTAAGATTTTCTTATAAACAACATGATTTGACTTGCATGCATGCATAAGAATTAATCAAAAAAATCATTATTGACTCATTCCAAGAGTGGTCCACTTGATTGTTGTGTGGTAATCATGCTCAGCATTGGAAGGCACGTACTTGGTAGTAGCCAAATGCACCAAATTTTAAAGATGATTGATCATCATATATCATCATATGCCAATTGTGTAGCATATGATGCCAACTAGTGGACTTAATGGCCGAATAGATTAAAATACTTTGGATAGTGACTTATAGAGTCGGTTAGGTAGGTTGTGACTACTATTATAGTGGCGCTTTGCAGATGATTTATTGGCCACCTTGATTCCAAGATGGAGAAGCCACATTTGCCTACTTACCCTCATCATTTGAGTATGTTTCAGGCTAAGATATGTTATCAATCGAGTATAAGTGAGTGCTTCAATGGAGGTATGAACATGAGAATTCTACTTTTATGAAATCTTATAAATAACTATATATTAAGATAATAATATTACATGCTTCTTTCTACCAAATCATCTAAGCCATAGAGTACATGTTTCATTAAAAAAAAACGGTCCCATAGGATAATGATCTATATATATTGGAAATTAAATGAATGTGGCTAATTCTTTGGCATGTAACATGTACACCAAGTGGATGGCCAATCAACCTTTGATAAGCTTTGTTGTCAAAAAGTTATTATTCCATTATGTAAGTACAAGACAAGAGAATTGAAAGGCATCCTTGTTGAATTAAATCAAGGAGAACACCAACCAAAAGTTTGCAAAAGACACATAACACCATCCTCATCTGTCTTGACCCATTTTTTATAGCACTTTTTTCGTGCATGTTTTATGTTTCTTTATAATTACTAACAAAATATTATAAATTCATATTATTATTTTATATTATATTTAGAATATTTCAAAATTTTAAATGCTTTTCAATACCCCCAACTAAATACTGCAAAACTGAAAGTACTTGTATTTCAGATCTCCTAAAATCAGATAGCCAAATACCCCTACTAAATACTTGTCTTGGATATATACCTTACCAAAAAGAGTAAGAAAATAAGTAACACGAGGTGAACAAGAAACCAACACTGTACTGAATTATTAATATTACAGTATAAATGCGCACATAAGAAGGAGCAGGAGTTCATGAAAACAAGCACCAGCCAGGCCACCCAACGGTAACTTTCCACGCAATTTTCACTTTGCAGACCCAAGCAAGGGTTTTTTCGTCACATGATATCTCAACGGATAATTTATCACTGCTGCTGAGGACAAGACGCAGGAGGGGGAAGAGAGAGAGCGAGAGAAAGATACTGAGAAAAAGAGGAACATATAAAGAAGAAGCTCTCTGTGGGTGGCAACTGCTTTTTCTCTCCCCTGTTTTCAAGCTGCAGGACCATTCTCTCTCTCTCTTTTTCACCCTTTTGGCGCACTTACATCCCATAAACCTTTGGGCACTCCCTTTCCGGTTCCTCGTCATCTTGAGGTACACTAAACCTAGTGAAGAAATACAGAGAAGAAGATAGCCAAGAAAGAAAAGATTCGATTTTGCACGGCATCATCATCTAGTTTCTCTCATTTCCAGCTTGTTGATAAAGGAAACCCATCTTCTGCAATAGAGATAAGAGCTGGCTAAAGAAGAAATTTCCTATTTTTATCTTCAACACCTTCTCGCTCTGCTGATATTAAAATAACTAATCCCTGGAGAAGGAATCAGAGTTTAACGACAAGGAAAGAATAAAGTTTCGATTTTTACTGGCTTTCCCCCCTCTTTTGGTCTTTGTTTGGATTTCTGGTTTTCCCCTGTGAGATATGTCGGATTTCAAGCCGGAGGAGATTAGTCATCCACCCATGGATCAGCTTCAGGGCTTCGAGTACTGCATAGACTCCAACCCATCCTGGGGTACGCTGGATTAAAACCCGGTTCCATATCTTTCCTAATCTTTTTCTCTGTTAAAAAACAGTTTTTGATTTAATTTATGTATTGTGGTTACAGGTGAAGCGATAGCTCTAGGGTTTCAGCATTACATACTGGCGTTGGGGACTGCGGTCATGATTCCCACTTTTCTAGTTCCATTAATGGGCGGCAGTGACGTGAGTATGCTTATTCTTTTCTTCAAGCTTTTGTGCTTCAAAATCATAACTTTTTGCTAAATCATTCTTTTTTTTCTTGCATTTCTGCTTTTTGATGTATGGGGGAAGAGAGTTTTTTCATTTTTTACCAACTGGATTTTCTTCAAAATGTTGCCTTTGATTTAATAGTGAATTTTATTTTATTTTTTTATTGTTTATTTCCATAAAAATTCTGAATCATGTCTTGGATGTCGTATATTCAAATGATTATATAATTTTTATTTTGTTACCTCTAATGTGCTCCAAGATGCATCTATCATTTCTTAATTTTTTGCACATTGATGAGATGCTTGTACTTCTCTATTTGTTCATGAGTTGCAGGATGATAAGGTGAGGGTAGTTCAGACATTGCTATTTGTGGGAGGAATCAACACATTGATTCAAACCCTCTTCGGAACCCGTCTTCCAACCATAATTGGAGGATCATATGCATTCTTAATCCCTACGATTTCCATAATTCATGATTCATCCTTCAGCCAAATTGCTAATGACCATGAGGTTTGATGAACTAAAAGATTAATTATAAAACCATATGACTCTTGGTGGAGGGTTTTTAAGCTATATTTATGTGTAATTTCAGAGATTTTTACAAACCATGAGGGCTATTCAAGGAGCACTTATAGTTTCTTCAAGCATTCAAATTATATTGGGCTACAGCCAGTTATGGGGTATATGTACAAGGTAATATTTGAATCATTCAGATTCTTATTAAAAATGGATTTATTTAACCTGTAAGTTATTAGATAATTATTTTAAAGTTCTATTTTGATGATGCAATAATGTCGTTTGGCTCTTCTTTTTTTTCTTGTGGGTTTATGATAGCAGATTCTTCAGCCCTGTGGGAATGGTTCCTGTGGTCTCGTTGGTGGGCTTTGGCCTTTTCTATAGAGGTTTTCCAGTGGTAAAGTTTCTGTTCCTACTTTTATTTCAAATTAAAATTACAAAAACTATAGTTGTTCTTAATTTTCAGCTATTATTTGAAATTTATTAATCTCGAAGGATTATGAATGAAAAGAGGGACTTGAGATGAAAAATAATTTAATGCCTCATATGCACCTAGGTGTGTAACTGAGTCAATCCGACTCGTGTTTGATATGGGCTTTATACTCGATGAGTTAACAAACTTAACCCAACTTCGACTAACATTAGTTTATTATAATTTAATGCCTCAATTAAATGCAAACATTAGTTTAGCATAATACACCAGGTTTACTTGCAAAATAAAGCGCCATTATTTATAATAATATCAATTGATCTTTACTGCAGTTTAAATGCTAAATTTTTCCATGAGTGCCTATTTCAGAACTGATTGCTAAAGCATTACTCCTTTTAAGTGATTTAGAACTGATCTCACATAATATTTCTTACATCTCAGGTTGGAAGATGTGTGGAGATTGGCGTTCCCATGCTCATCCTTTTTGTCGCATTATCACAGGTACTCTGACTCTCTCTAATCTAAAAACATGTAAGGAAATTTACACACATAGCACACCATTCTTATGTATTTGTATATCTCACACCAAAACTTTCATATATTTACCTATGCATGAAATGGGACATTTCACTTTTATAAAGTGCTAATAGTGATATTTTTATGTGATATTAAAGATTTGAGTGCCATGTGTGAGATATGCAAATGCAATGTATGTAAATTCCCCAAATATGTATATAAATTATGATTTTTTATTCATAATTTTGAAGTAAAGCTCTCCAAATTTTCTTCTCTCCCTCTTCAGTATCTGAAGCATCTGAATGTGAGGCGATTACCTGTGCTGGAGCGCTTCGCTTTGCTAATATCAATTGCCATCCTTTGGCTCTACGCTCATATTTTGACGGTGAGCGGAGCCTACAAGTACAGGCCAGCGAAAACTCAGTTTAATTGTCGTACCGATCGAGCGAACCTTATATCTTCTGCATCATGGTTTGTCTTCTTCCTTCTGCTTAAACTCTTTTCCACTCGGTTATATCTTGATCTTAATTATTCATTCTCAAAAATAATATCTTTGAAGGATAAAAATCCCATACCCACTTCAATGGGGGGCACCCACTTTTGATGCCGGCCATGCTTTTGGCATGATGGCTGCTGTATTGGTGTCACTTGTTGAGGTAAATAACCAGCTTATTTATATTTTTTCTAGCATTTTTTGTTGTCCCCAATTTTTAATGAATAAGGCTTGTTGTGTAAATAGAAGTGAAGGTAAGCTCCTCTATACTTTATAGGAAATGTGACTCAAATAAGGGAAATTTACATTCCGGGCACAAAATTCTTATGTTTTTGCATCTCACACCTAAACTTTCATATTTACATACATTTTGGTGCTTCAAACTTGTGAACATAAAAGGTGTATATCACTTTTAAAATGTGTTGAGTGCTATTTCTAATGTGATATTCAGGACTTGAGTGTTACGTGTGTAAATATGGAAGTTTAGGTGTGAGATATGTATTTAAAAGCGTCTAAAATAGAATATATGAGTATTAATTTTCATGAAGCCAAACAGAACAGAAGGATTTATAGTCTCTTTATGAAGAAAATAAACTAAGTCTTTTTTTTCATTTCCTCCACTTGTCTTCAGTCCAAGCAAAGCTCAAGATTTTGGGGCATTACATACATACCCACCAATTCCTATGTATTTATATATCTAACACCTACATTATTATACTTTTTACATTTATACCACCCACATCTTTCATATCATATAAAAAAATAACACTATTTTAAGGTTTAAAAAGTGAAAATACACCTTTTAATGCATAGGTAAGGTGGGCACGGATCTAAAAGTCAAAGCTTAGGTGTTGATATGTAAATGCATAGAAATTGTGTGGTATGTTTGTAAATCTTCATAAGTTTATTTCAAACCAAATAACCACAAAAGGCTTTTGATTCATGTCATCTCAGTCCACTGGAGCATATAAGGCGGCAGCTAGGCTGGCAAGCGCAACACCGCCACCAGCTCATGTTCTTAGTCGTGGCATCGGATGGCAGGTGATGATTTCTCGCTCTTTGAATGAAACATCAGTTTGGATTCTTAAAACTAAATATTGATTTACATTACTAAAATGAATCCCAGGGTATTGGAATTTTACTGGATGGGCTCTTTGGTACAGTTTCTGGCTCTACTGTCTCTGTGTAAGTATTGATTTATATTTTTTTTTTGTGCACTAAAGGCTTTCTTTTTTTTTAGGGGCATTTGCATCCATGCCACCCGATTCCTATATATTTACATTTCTTACCCTGAAACTTTATTTTCTATGTTTATACCACCCAAATCTTTCATTTCACATTAAAAATACCACCTTTTTTACTTTTAAGAAGTGAGACAGGTAAGGTGACACATGTAAAAATTGATGTTTGTGTTAGATAAGTAAATACATATAGAAATTGAGTGGTTTGTATCTTATCTTCCCCTTTTTTTAAGAAGTCATACTTGCTTTAAAAATAGAAGAACTAACATATTTAGAGGAGGTCACAGGGAGAATGTGGGACTTCTAGGAAGCACGAGGGTCGGCAGCCGAAGGGTGATACAGATATCAGCTGGTTTCATGATATTCTTCTCCATCTTGGGTATGTCTTCATGCTACAGAAAAGATTAGGGGCATTTACATACATAGCACATATTTCTTGTATACATATCTCACTCCGCTACAGAAAAGATTAGGGGCATTTACATACATAGCGCATATTTCTTATATACTTAAACTTTCATATCTACACATAGCACTCAAATCCTTAATATCACATCAAAATAGCAATATTACAAGTGAAATACACCTTTTCACCCATAAGTTCAAAACACCAAAGTGCGCAAGTAAATATAAAAGTTTAGGTGTAACATATGTGTAAATTTTCCAAAAATTCAATGCAAAAAATAATAATGTTGGCCTTAAATAAACTATGTTTTTCTTCTTAATCTCACACTTTGTACTGTTCTGTTACCAGGTAAGTTTGGAGCACTATTTGCCTCCATTCCTTTCACCATATTTGCTGCGCTCTATTGCGTTCTTTTCGGCCTCGTTGGTGTGTTCTCTTTCCTCCCCCATCTTATTCATCATTGATCACTCTTACCCTGTCTCCTAATGGTTGCTTTCTTCTTCTCTCAGCGGCTGTGGGTCTCTCCTTCTTGCAGTTCACGAACATGAACTCGATGCGCAATCTCTTCATCGTTGGCGTATCCATGTTCCTCGGCCTGTCAATACCGGAGTACTTCTTCAGCTATACAGAGAGTGCGAATCACGGTCCTGCTCACACCAAAGCAGAATGGGTATGCATCTGGACTGCTTAAAATGTGTAAAGATTATGTCTTTATACTAACTAATCAAGAGTTGAAACAATGAAATGCAGTTCAATGACTACATCAACACCATATTCTCTTCTCCAGCAACAGTTGCTCTGATTATTTCTGTGTTTCTGGACAACACGCTGGACTTCAAGGAGACGGGTAAAGATAGAGGAATGCCATGGTGGGTCAGATTCAGAACTTTTAAGGGAGATAGTAGAAATGAAGAATTCTACACTCTTCCTTTCAATCTTAATCGCTTCTTCCCACCTTCTTAAAGAACAAACAGTGCAGGCTTTGTTCAGATAGATTGTATTGTTATGGAGAAGAGCTTTTGGGGGGGTTGGGTTATTTGATGAGCAAATTTTGAGAGAATTAAGGGAGTTCAATGAAAGTGTGTAAGAGAGAACCCACTGAATCTGACCCCACCTAACTTAGGGAACTTGATGCAGTTATTAGAATGATGGAAGTTGGGTCTGTTTTTTAGTTGTAAGTAGTAGTATTTATGGATTCTGGATTTATTATGTAATTTATTCTGCTAATATGTAAAATTTATCTTCTTTTTTAAAAATTTTAATCTTGAAGACTGTTTTGGTTGTCAATATGTACAAGGGGCTTCCTACTAATATATTGTACAGGAGTGAGGGGCTGTTTGTTCTTGTCTTTCCAGACCACGCTTTCGGTCTAAACTGGCGTTCGCCGCACCGTATTTTTTTGTGAATTCACGGAAGCTATCCGACGACCATGTCCTGCCGTTTGATTAACGGAAGCTATCCGACGACCGTGTCCTGCCGTTTGATTTCTGACAGGACAACTGCATTTAACATAGCGACCCACTGCTATGTGTGTGACTTGATGCTGCACGATGCATCGTGACACAATCCACTCAACGTACGAGATCTGAAACTGTTGGCTGCACCCAACTCAGTCATGCTTCTTCCCTAATTGCTAGAATGGGCATGACAAAAATAAAATTAGTATGAAGGTTGTGGGCTGCACCCAACTCAGTCATGCTTCTTCCCTAATTACAACTAGCCCAACACGGTCGTGCTTCTTCCCCAATTGCTAGAATGGGCATGACAGAAACAAAATTAGTATGAAGGTTGTGTCAAAAATGTCGGATTTCAAGCCGGAGGAGATTAGTCATCCACCCATGGATCAGCTTCAGGGCTTCGAGTACTGCATAGACTCCAACCCATCCTGGGGTACGCTGGATTAAAACCCGGTTCCATATCTTTCCTAATCTTTTTCTCTGTTAAAAAACAGTTTTTGATTTAATTTATGTATTGTGGTTACAGGTGAAGCGATAGCGCTAGGGTTTCAGCATTACATACTGGCGTTGGGGACTGCGGTCATGATTCCCACTTTTCTAGTTCCATTAATGGGCGGCAGTGACGTGAGTATGCTTATTCTTTTCTTCAAGCTTTTGTGCTTCAAAATCATAACTTTTTGCTAAATCATTCTTTTTTTTCTTGCATTTCTGCTTTTTGATGTATGGGGGAAGAGAGTTTTTTCATTTTTTACCAACCGGATTTTCTTCAAAATGTTGCCTTTGATTTAATAGTGTATTTTATTTTATTTTTTTTATTTTGTTTATTTCCATAAAAATTCTGAATCATTTCTTGGGATGTCTCGAGTTGCAAAGAAGCTGATGAGTTATCTTCAATGTACCAAAGATTACATGATCTAGACTAGTGGATAGTATGGAGGTAATTGGATATTTGATTTTGACTTTGTTGGGTATGTTGATTCTCAAAAGTCAATATCGAGATGCTTCTTCATGTTTGTGGTGGAGTTGTATCTTGGAGGATCACAGAGCAAACTTTAGTTGCTACTTCCGCTATGGAGACCAAGTTTGTCTTGTTTTGATTCTGACTTTGTTAGGTGTGTTGATTCTCAAAACTCAACATCTAGATACTTCTTCATGATTACTAGTGGAGTTGTATCTGAGAGGAGCACAAATCAGAGTTTAGTTGATACCTCCATTATGGAGATTGAGTTTGTGTCTTGTTTTGAGGCTACATCGCATGTTGTACGGCTTAAAGCTTTATTTTTGCTCTCAGACTTGTGGATTCAATATCTAAGCCGTTGAGGATATATTGTGACAATTCAGCTACAGTGTTTTTGGCTAACCGTTGAGGATATATTGTGACAATTCAGCTACAGTGATTTTGGCTAAGTGCAATAAAATTCATATTCGAAGAATACATATTGACATTAAGTACTTAGCCAAAAAAGAGCGTGTCATGAAAAAATACAATAGTTATTGAGCACGTGAAAATTGAATTTATGATAACATATCCTTTGACTAAGGTATGCCACACAAAAGTTCAAGTACCATGTTTCAATTTATGGGGTAGTAATCCATTATAACTTATCGCCATGATTCATAAATTTTTTTCTTAATATGAGATAAAATATTTTCAGATCATTGGGTAGTAATACATTTATAATATAACCGTAGTATAACAGCAGATTATATTATATGAGCGCTTATTCGGTATGGAATCTGCACCTACGCCCCCCAATCATTTTACTCCACGTAATAAACATCATTTTTAAAAATTATTAAATTTTTAAAATGGGGCCGCACACAACTCTGTGTGTGGTCACCGTATGGAATAATTTTTCTATATCATAGTCCTGATGTGAGCATTTACATAGCTAATAAATGGATATAATTAACTTTAAAGGCATTTACATGAATACCGTCCAATCTCCATGTACTTACATATCTAATATCTGAACCTTATTTAATAGCACTTAAAATACTTGATATCATATAAAAAATATTATCATTTTAACTTTTAAAAAATGAAATATATTTTTTATGAGTAAGATAACATATATACATGTAAAAATTAAAATATGGGTACTAGATATATAGATAGATATGAATTGAGTGATGTACGTAAAATATTGTTCGCGAACAGCTCGTGTTTGGCTTTTTAAAAAGCTCATATTCGGCTCGTTCGCTAAGTTAACGAGTCGAACACGAACAATACGAACCAATACAAATTAATATATACATACATATGTATGTGTATATGTATATATGTATATATATATATATATATAGATATATATATATTATATGTATATGTATATGTATGTATCTATCTATACATATTATATTATATGTATATGTATATGTATGTATCTATATGTATGTAAGCTTAAATACCATTATTTCAGCTTTTCGAATGTGAACTATATATTTTCATGTATATATATATATATATTTTTTAGGGGAACGAGCGTTGTTCGGCTCCCTACATAAAGGTTAGGAGAGGATCCCCCAAGCTAAAAAAGAAAAATAACTACAATACGCGTACATAGGGGGATTCCCCTACCACAATACAAATCACCCCAACAAAAAGAAAAAGGGCATGTCAATCAGCAGTAAAAGAAAGTATACGCCAAAACAAACTACACCTCAGAGAGCAAAAAACAAAAATCCCGAGACCAAAAATTCATGAATTACATATGCACCCAAAAACTCAATGATCTGCGCCGATTGTCTGAAGCAATATGCATCAGGGACAAATATCTTTTCATGTATATTAAAGGTGGTGTATCTGTAAAAATTGAAGTTTGGATTATATATGTATTTATCTATACATATTTTATATATATATATCTATGTATACATATTGTATATATATATATATCTATGTATACATACTATATATATGCATATATATACATCTATACAGACATATACATATATGCATACATATACATATATGCATACATATACATATATTCATACATATACATATATGCATACATATACATATATGCATATATATACATATATATACATATATACATATATATACATATATACATATACAGTAGTATTTTTAAAAAAATAGTATTTTTAAAAAATTTAATTGACCACAAGACTACAAAGATTTATAATCAATTAAAAGTATTAATTAAAAAAATAGAATAAAATTTATTAAATTAGATTCAAATGATATTTTAAATCTTGCTTCAATCATTAACATTTTATGACTACATGATTATGATTGTCAAAATGATTCTTTACTCGCGAACAGCTCGTGTTCAGCTTGCTAAGCAAACGAGCCGAACACAGACATTTTTTGAGCTTGAAATATAAACAAGGCAAACACGAGCTGAGCCTAGGCTTGAAATATAAACAAGCCAAACACGAGCTGAGCCTAGCCTCCCTCGTGTTTGGCTCATTTACACCCCTACTTAAAATACAATAAAATTCAAAGCTTTAAGTACAAAATTATATAAATATACATGAAACAAATGATTTCTTTTTTTTTTCTTCTATGTTTTAACATTACATTCCAACAACCACTTAGAATAAAAATAATTTTTCTTTTATAATAAATGAGTTACATGATTTACTAATCAAGCCTAAGCTCAAGTGGTGGTGACTTGAGCTCAGCTCACCTTATTTACATCCCTAAATTTAAGTATCAATAAAATCGAATCATAGTGTAATTATAAAATTTGAAAGGGGGCATTTCAATATTATTTTTTTAGCAAAATCTTGCATAAATGAACCCCAATTCAAGCATAGAATTAAACACCAGAACCTGTCAACACAAACTCATGACAGGATCAGCAATTTTGACAAATATAAAAAAGAATATATTTCATG